TAAGAAATAAATCGCCGGTGCTGGATCCTTTTTCAATCGTTAAAATGTCTGGTGCGTTTATGCGTTCGTTCGTCCCTCCCTGTTGTCGTCCCTGTTACTCGTACTCCTGTCACTGCGACTAGCCTAACCTCGTTTATATTCTATTCAATTAATTACTTAATAAAAACATCTTTTTACGTAAATGTTTACGCGCGCCGTAATTTCTTTTTTTTTTTCCCCCTCTCTCTCTTTACGATCCGTGCACCATACCTCTCGTTCAATGTGTGTAACGCGGTTTCTTTTTTCCCTCATTTATCTCTCTCTCTCTCTCCGTTTCGATTGTTCGTTTCGTTCTCCTATCGGTGAGCGAATATATTTCGAGTCGAAAAAATACAAAACGACACAGAGAAAATTCTTGCTAATCATCGTTTAAGCTATATAATCCTATGTATACACACCGCCTCGTGATAACCAGCAAATGTCGTTGGGATATCACTCGGCGTTCGCTTCTCCTCGATTATTCTTCGACTTTCTTCGCGTTACGCTTGTTCGATGTGGAATTCTAGACTTTCGCTGTGAACAACGTAGGAATGTTCACCGTAAATATATCCGTTTAATCGAGCCAAGCATACTCGCGACGATCTCGAAGTCGTCTTGTTTGTTTGTTTGTTTCTATGTCTTTTTTTTCCTTTTGCACGGTGGTAGTAGATTAATGGTAGAAAAACTTATGTACAACTTAAGAGAAAGGATCGACATCCTGTGGTGGGGCCATGCGACACAGGTTACTCCGTGTTCCCGGCCGGCCTGTATCCATGCATCTACATTGTCGCGGAGAAAGATGTTGTTTCAAGGATAAAACATTTCTGGATTTCGTTCCCGTCGATTCGGTACGAACCGCCATCCCTTGAGGATTCCCGTACGAAACAACAAATCCAACCAGGCTCCGCTATAATCTCTCATCGGAGCCTTGTATATGTTGCCAGTGATCGCGCGTGATCTTTTCATTTCTTTGTTTATTTATTTTTCTTTTAAATGTATGCTTTCGTGACGACGCTCGACGGGGGTGCGCTCGATCGAACCACGAGGTACCTGTTTAACGTCGTTGTTCCGTAGCGCTCGAAACGACTCAGGACGAAGGGCCTGCTCGACCGTTCGTCCTGAATCGTTCCCGGAAGATCCACGAGAAGGGTTCCTCTTCTGCCTCTCAACCGGAAGCTGCGGAGGATCCGTCCAGCGGATCTCGCTCCACCATCAGTCGATATAAGGATTTATCGGTTCTTCTAGAAACATGGACAAATATAGTTTATCATTATACGCCCATCGTTTTCGTTCGTTCGAACGAAAAACCACCGTTCGATCGTCGTCACTGGCTTTTATCACGCTCTCTCTTTCTCTCACTCTCTCACTCTCTTTTTATGCCTATTCGGAGAAACGAGTGTCTTAAAATTAGGCGGTAATCGATGAACCGTGTACGCAACAAATCGAAAACAATACTCGACGCTCGAAGCTGTGTGTTGTGTTATTCCTTGCCGTTCGTTGACCACGCTTTCTCGTCCTGTTTTCTTCTTCGCTTCCTCTCAAGACCGTTGTTCCGTCATCGGTGATCGTCCACGACGAGGACAGGGTGGACAGTTCGTGGCCTCGTTAGTAACTCGCGATACCGGTCGACACGTTCGATTCCGGTAATTAAAAGGCACGAAGCGTAACAATAATATCCACCCGTTCCACGTGTAGACGTAGTCTCGTGATTAGGTCACAGCCTGATCCTTCGTCGGCACTTCTCATCGTCCCTGCTGATGATCGATGCCTCCGTACGTCGCGTGTTTGTTCCTTCGTTCTATTCCCGAACGCTGCGTGTAATCTTCCTTCCTTTTTCACGTATAATCTCCCCTAACTCTCTCAGTTCTCTCTCTCTCTCTCTCTCTCTCTCATTCTCTAATCTCACTCCCTACCTCCACACTTTCTCTCTCTCTTTCTCACACACGCTCGTTCTGCGATATGTTAGTTTAAGGATACCTGAACGCGCTTTACGCGAAGGACGTGTACCTCCTTGGCGGATGCGATCCTTCCTCGCTGACCGTTCCTTCTTTCGCTATCTTCTTGGTTTCTTAGTTATGCCGGGAGCCGACGAGCGTTGATGAGCCCACGCAACCACGAAGAGCAAGAGCCACGCGACCTCCTGATTTAACCGAGCTGCTGCAGGAAGTTCGGGGTCTTGAAGTACTCCGGCAGTGGATCGTCCAGCCTCGAGATTACTTTGTAGATGGACTTTTTCCAACTTTGCTCGGTGTCCTTACCGCCCTGAATCGCCTTGAAGAACTCTTTCAACGTTTGCTCGACGACGTACCTGAAGTTACTCGGCACCTGCAAAATTCCCAACAAAGATCTTGGTTAATTTGCACCAACTAGTTTTAATCGATCGTCGATCATATATACATATACATAATATACTCGTTCGATAGAAGGAAAGATATTCGTGTTATCTGAAAGGTATCGAAAGTAGTTGTTCGACGATGTAAATTTCGAGCGGCAATCAAAGAGTCAATCGGCGTGACGTTTGGCGAAGAGGGAATCTCGAACGTTGGTGTTTTAAGGGTGGGGGGAAAAGTAAAAATCCAGCGGAAACGAGAAAGATAATTTCCCCGCGCTCATTACGGTCCACCGAAGAAGTCGCGTATCCGAAGAATTAAAACGATGTTACGCGTGTATGGTTTAACGAGCGCGCGCGCGACGGATGAGGCCGTGCCTGAGCCCCGGCGCTAAGAGTTTCCACTTATAATTAGTACGTTTGGGTTATTAACGAACACGAGTAATTAATTACGCGTCAAGCGGGTGGCAATTGTGGCCGGAGGTGGAAGAATGGAGCCTCCAGGTTTTCGCGGAGACTCGTTAAATAATATTAAATAGCTGCTTTACGCGTGCACACGCGGCGTTACGCGGCTGCTGCTGCAAATACAATCAACGGTCGTTACGCCGTGGCGAAAGTAAATTGCGCCTGTACAATGGGAAAAGTAGAAACGTACGAGTGATTTGCCAGGCAACGCGGCTTGTGATGTGTGTTACGCTGGATACAACACCGTGTGTACCGGTTCGAATTCGTTTAAAAGCGTTCCACGAGATGAGAAAGACGAGGTAACGCGGCGCGGTCATGGCCGACCGCCGAATAATTGCACGGTCGCGCGCGCTGTCTCGATACTAGAAACGATCCGGCAATTTTGTCGCTCCTATCGAAATTTCGACTCTGACAGCTCGATTCCGACGGTATGTCACGAATTTGATTGGCGAATCATAGAACGCGCAGGTGGTCGTGGATCACGTCCAACTCTTCCTTCTTCTAACTGCATTATGAATGTTGCGCGTGTGCGTGTTAGGAGGGTATTACGGAATTATGAGAAGAAACTATTAAAGTTCTCGTCTCTCTGTGTCTGAGATACGAAGGAATGTTGTGAATTTGATCTGGGTACCATAGGATATGGAAATTTCTACACCTTGTAGAGATTACAGAAAATGTTTGCAATAGGTGTGAAGCTCAAAATTCAAATTTGTATATTCCAGTTTTAATGAAGTTTCTTTAGGAACTTGGGAAGATGTTACGTTTCGTGTAATTGGAAAGAGAAGAGAAGAAATTAAAATGAACTCACCTCAATGTTGTTATTTCTGTTGTAATGAAGATTGAGAACTCGATAGATTTCCGAGTCACCTCCAACTCGAAGATCATCAACGTTCTTCGTACCTTCCGAAACAGCTTGCCTCGCGTATTTCTCCATTTGGATGTAGTAGAACTCCCTGAAAAACCGAAAGCAATTTAATTATTAATAATATAACAATTTCCATGTGAGATTCGTTACTTGTTGCAAAACAGTTTCGAGTAATTCATTTATACCGATTATTTAAACGTATCGTATTAAGTTTGACTCGCAATCTTTTTGTCGTACGAAAATCGTACGAGCCGAGGTTAATTGTAGGGATAAATTTAAGAACAGATCGATACATTGCCTGAAGGAAAAATTGATTTCTTCGTTCATACGACTTACCGACTGATTTTCTTTTCAAAAATCAATTTTCAAATCGTTCACAGCCGACTCACGTAATTGATTCATCTCACAATCGTATATCGATCTGTTCTTAAACACTTTCCTATCGGTACATCGCATGTCAATTTCGTCTTAAATACTTTCCTACCTAACCAGACAGCTCTGTGATCTTTCTCGAACGAGCACGAAAGGTACGAGAAAAGAAGAAAAGAAGATCTGTTAATTCGCGTGGCGCAGGTCGGAACTGGCGAAAAGGGTTAAAAATAATTTTCTCCTTGGAAAGCCTGGTGCGGACGCCATGCTTGTCACCAACGTTGATTCTCGCGGAACAGAGAATGCTAATGTACTACCGATAATTAATTAAGGGTCGATACTGAAAGTGGTCTGACGCAAGCGGCAGAAGGTGAAGAAGGAAGAAGGGGAGAGAGTCGCAAAGAGGTGTGTACAACTCCTCGTCGGCTGGCAAGCGACGCGGTTCAAAGAGACTATTAAGAACGTGTTACACTGTATCGTCCAAGAAGACCTCGGCACCCTCGTACAGGCAACCACCGACGTTTACAGCAAGCATGAACGCGTATTCGCGCGCGCACATACAAACACCACGGGAGTGCGCGCGCGCATTTTTTTTTTCTTCTTTTCTCTCCTTTTCTCGCGCGGCAAAGGAAAAAATCGAGCTCCCGACGTCAAGTTTGCCGTTTACGTTCATTAATTAACGCAGTTAAACAAGCACAAGTCACTAATTGGCGGGTAATTTGTATAGTAATAGTGACCTGAACCTTCGCGCGGAGAAACCGTGAAGGGGCGGCACCAAGGGGTGGCTTCGCTTCGCTGGATCTCACCGAAAACTCAGGACAGGAACGGTTTACGACGCGTCGTGCCGACACAGAAGCGAATACACTTTGAACATGAGCCGGCCCTTTTGTACGACGTCTTTGCGCGCGCGCGCCAACCGTCGCTTCAATGCGACTGCCACTGATTAAGAAATTAATTATTTTTTTCAATTGAACCACCGTCCGACTTAGTTTCTATGCGAACTTTGTTCGTTTCGCGGCGGAAAGGGGCGGAAAGCTTTCGCAAGATGCAAGTGAAACGCGACAGAGACACGTTTCCCTTTGATACTTTTCTCGCCGTGTTTTGCGCGAAACTACTCGCGGATAACGCGTTTAGCTTGGATTTACGGAAGTTTATCGCGTGTTCTAATTTGAAATTGAGAATAACAGTTTCGACGTGTCGAAGGGTTTTCTGAAACTCCTCGATAGTTGACCGTACAAGAAGCAGGGGTGAAATGAAAAATTTGGGTTTAATGGAAGCAACGTTTCGCTGAATATTTCACGTGTACTTCTATATCAAGCCTCTTAATGCATAAATGACCAACCAATGGTCCACTTATCACGAGTACATATTTAACGAGATACATATTTAAGAAGACGGAATTCCGCGGAATCACGTCGAATGGTAGGTAAGTTTAAAAAATTGATCGAATTCGAGTAAAAGAAGGATAAGGATAACTCGTAGTAAGATACGAGCTCGGTCTACCGTTAATAAATAATTCTATTAAATACACACCCTACTTTTGCAACCCACTCGTGTTTCTCCACGTTATACTCACCTTTTAAGCGGAATATCGAACCGTCGTAACGACCACCAGGAGGAAATGAACGAAAAAGAAAAAGAGATGCGGAAAGACGTCGACGACGAAGGAGAGAGCCGTCCCCATATTCTTCGGTCCCGCGAGCGAACAAGTCGAGCGAGGAAAACAGGCGAATGACTTGACGCGACAACCGAGGGAGAAAGGGAGAGAAGAAGAGAGAGAAAGAGAGTGTGTGTGTGGGTGTAAGAGAGAGAGAGGAGAGAACGAGTAAGTGGAGACTGCTACTTGCCCGGATATTTTTCCATTCTTTTCTCGATCTTTCTTTCCGGAGTCCCTATCCTCCTCACCCTTAAATGCACACAGAGAAGTCAGCCCCCGTGGTGGAAGTATCCTAGAGTAGCAAGCCAGAATGGCAGCGAGAATGGCAGTCAGGTTGATCTTGCACTTTGGATCCCGAGGGGATGCAAAGAAGTACGGTTCAGCGGGAAAGCAACGAGTCGGTAGTGCTACTGCGGCTTGTATAACTCGAGATCCCTGAATGCTCGACAATGTGAGGCAACCGGTTCAAACCTTCGGGTCTTGGTCTTCGCTTGGTGCCGCTGGGAGCAATTTTTAAGATTGCTTCCGCCTGGCGGACTCGCGCGCGGCTCATGAAACAGAGGATCGACGAACGTTTCCATATCCGTCGTCGACGTCGTTTCCGCTGGTGAACCAAGTCGTCACCGTAGCATATTCTGTTAAGCGGTGTTTTCATCCCCCCTTTCCGCGACAGTTTCCCGCTCATCGTTCAAATCGACCCTTTGCGAAGACGTTTCGTTCTTTGGTTTTTTTCAGAGTTCATCCCGTCGCCAAGTAGCAATTAGAAGAAACTTGGGGATTGTTTTTATAATTTACATTTTATACTATTTCTCCATTTTCTTTCCTCGAGTGAGTGTATCGGAAAGGATACTTGAGAAGTTGACTGTCGCGTAACAACGTCGGATAGGAACGAAATTTTAACACTTGAAATAACGAACAAGACCGGGAGATCGAGGATAGAAGATCGGAACGACACGCTCGTCGATCGAATACATTCGAACCGGAACAGAAGAAAACAATGGGATCTTTGGTGTGTCGTGTGACGATCTATAGGTAGCGACCAGAAGAAAGGGCGAGAGGAGGAGTCAGGTGGCGGAGATGCGAGAGCCTCTTCTCATTCGATCACTCCATATTGGCTCTCTCGCCAATTAAGACAATTTCGCGTGCTCTTATCAGCAGTCAGTCAGAGAAGGTTGTGCACACGAGAGAGGAGAATTGAAAGAGGAGTGTGTCTCTGCAGAATCATGTCCCGCGCCCTTTCTC